GAAGCCTACGGGCGATCTCTTGTCCCTTACCTCGCCAGATTTCTAACAAATCATGAACTCGTTGCAGGAAATCTGCAACGAACGCTAAATTAAATCAATCATGAACACCCGAGTATGCCATTGGTTTCTGATGTTGCTATCCTTTTTCACGTCGTTTAATTGTTGTCTTATATTGTCTTTTTTTGTTGGCACACTATGGTTAGGTGGTTGCTGAATATAAAGCTCTCGAGGTGTATTATGCCACTCCTTGACTTAACTATGTTCTTGGCTAGATGTGCAATCGATAGGAGCGCCTCTTGCCTAGGCCCCAACAACGGCATAGGCGGGGGAACAAAACTGGAGAACAACGATCAGTGTCTTATTGATCGTAACGCAATGAGTGGGTGAATTGGGCGTGCGACAAGGACGTGGTGTCGCACCAATCAGATCGCGTCCTTGACACTCCGATTGGCCAATCGGACGACAGCTGTCTGATTCGCCTCAGTCATCCAATCCGGTATCGATTGACTTCGGGGGTCGCTAGCGCACTTGCGGACTCTGTGCACTCCGTCCTGAAACCATGTTATTTTTTCCATATTTTACAGTCTTACGGCCTTTAACTATCATCCCGTTCTATAAATACTTTTCTCCGTAAAAGTCGTTGAAAATGCTGAAAATGCACTGTGTAAATGCGTAAATTTGATTCCAACTTAGCTCCGACAAATTATACAATCATTTTATTTGTCTTATTATTGGCTGGACAAACACGTGTTCCATTTTCTCAAGGAGAGGGCAGTTTCTTGAACGATAAGAGATATGCTCAGATCGGATCAGGTAAATACCGCGTTTCGGGCTGTATTGTCACAGCTGGATGAACTCCAGCTCATGAAGCAACAAGTGATCCCTTGTTGTTGGACGAACATCTACCGAATCACCCAGAGCCGTGTTTAAAATTAGAAAAGCCCAAATAAAACGCATCCAAACACCTCATCAGAAATGTGTTTAATAAAAGAGAGCCGTAACAGCATTCAGTCTAGCCATTTTCATTATCCATGACAGCACCCACTCTGTAAGACGCATCGTTAATAATGATTTGAGATGTTCCCTTGAGTAATGAGCTCCCAGTACATTGTCCACTCGAGGTGCAGCTTTCTCTAATAATTTTTTAATGCTAAAATTCATACAGAGTATTTCAGTGAAAAAGCAATATTCACTTATATATAAATATACATATATAATAAAGGGCAGTATTTTCTTCAAGATACTCGATTTTCAACACTTTATCGAACACGCTTAGTTTGAGCTGTTGCAGTGGTCAGTCGGGTGCGGAAAAATCCCGTCAAATTCGTCGATATTTTCGCCTGGTTTTGCATAGTTTTACTCCGATAGCAAACAAGACCTATCGTGCCAAAGCATTAGGGTGAAAACCGTAAACGAACCACGTGTCGACCAATCCCGTGGCGTTCTGTTTCTCATTGTTGATTGGTTCATCGTAGTCTCGGACTGAAATGCGATCGATAGGTAGACCGGCAGCAGGGTATAGGCTATTCTTTTCTGTCCAAAGCGCTACACCAACGCAGTGCCATGGCAGACTGATGCAAGGTTCACACAAGCGTCGATTTCCATCGCCCCGAAAAGTTCGGCAATGGTGTTACGTGTTTCTGGTCTTCACTGTGCTATTCATATTGATCAAAACATGGCCTCGATCAGTGATCTTGCAAATCCCCCAACGTGACAATGATGCTCCTCACCAGTTATTATCGCATAGATTGAGCCATCTTTTGCGCGCGGAATTCAGTCGATTAATACGTCATGACATTCCGGCTGTGGAAGATGTGGGTGAGACTATGTTGCGTGATTGGGTTACATTGGAGCAAAAGTTTTGTAACCAGAGTAAGTCCGTGACCTTTTCGTTAACATATTTGTGAAATTTTTCTATTTCGATGGCACTATTCATGGAAATTATAGCCATTACCGAGTTTCCTCAACAGTATATTTTTTCAGTTTTTATGCCACATTACTGCGCGTAGGTTTCAGTTTCCCACCGGCGTTCATTCCGTCCCCAGAAATATTCATTTTATTCATTTTCTTACACATCTGAGACCAGACTGTGTATCAAACAAATCATCACGGTACAATAATACTTATAAAAAGATAAAAGATCCATAATTTGCTCGAGGGCAGGATACTGCTAAGTTGCACAAGTCAAAGCAGGTGAATTTTCTTGGGGAATTCACAACCGGAGCCTTCGACTAACCAAAGCCTGACGAGCAAGGAAGCGTGGCAGTATGTGAAAACCGCAATCCATTGGGGAGCGGTGTACAATTCATCGGATCATACGCCCATTGGACGGGGTCAAGGGCCCAAAGTGCCCACTGCACCTCGATACTCAACTCAAACAGTGACCACTACCAGGAAGGTATGTGTGTGTGTGTGTGCGTGTGTGTGTGGTTCGTTTGAAATCAAGGTTTTTGGCCAACTCTTTTGGGCGAACTGCCAGTGGTTAACCGACCCGGTTATAAGCACGGATCTTTTGTCCACTCATAACGGGAAGACAGTGAGTAGGGCTTCCTCAACAGAAGCTTGAGAAGCTTGGTCTTATGGGAGCATTTCACAAGGTGCAAAAGAGGGGTGACCAGCCGTAACCCGAGACACCAACCCCGACCAAACTGAGGCTTTCTGAGATATAAACAGATATAAACAACTTAATAAACCAAATTATTTCCAGAGTTCATATACACAGAAGAAAATTGTGGTGCATTGTTACGGTGCGTTAGAATTAAAGAATAGCAGTACTGCTTCCGAATTGGAGTTTTACACGCCAATTCGATGCTGAACAGTATAGATTTGAGAAGATTTAAGAGATACTATAATTTCTTGTTATTTTTTGTAATGAATGCATATGAAATGTATCCTTCTTGAAAGAAGGCTGCATTTATATTGTAATGTACGAATGAATCGGCGGGTGACGTGCGGCACATCATT